GCACGTTATACAATGCTTCCTTTCAGAAATCGATTTCCAGCCCCATATGGGAGTAGTTTACAGTGGCAAAACCACGTTTTACTTTGATAGCAACAACAGCAAAAAAACCTCCATACAATGCTAAAGTCCATAAAATAAGTTCAGGGCGTTTATTTACTAATGTTGGCGCACAAAAGGAAACTTATATGCACCACTGTTGTAGCAAAGGTTACCTTTATGAATCGATTTCGAACAATTTGAATGGGGTTTTCTTGGGTTTATAGAATAATAATAATGAACAATTCTATAGGCAAAGTGACACGGGTTCAGTACATAAACCTCTTAGATCTCACCACGAAGGGCAGACAGCTTTTCCACGCCTAGGGTTGACACTAGAGATTTCTTAATGTACGATACAGAGCATCTGGGTCATTAGACAGAAGTGCAATTCACTTACTCTTCTGGTAACGTAGCCCACTACGCCGTTGTTTTAGGTCGAATTCTGTGCAAATCTAGTCATTTTCAAGCACGAATAACTTATGCCACAAAGCGTTTTGAGCGCTTGGATTAGCAGCAAACACCTCCTCTTGGCCACGCTTTATTTCCAGATGTTTTATCTCAATTTTTTTTGGGTCGTTGCAAATTCATGAAAATCATCGTTTTTCCATGAGTATTAGCAAGGGAAAATTCTTGAAAATCAAACGATCGCGTTTTTCACGTCAAAAATGAAAACCTTTTCTATGATACATATTAAATCAAATTGATCGTAAAGATGAAGTGAAACATTGGAAACTCTTTCTATGAGACTTTCATATGCTAAATTCTGACATATTCACAGAAAACCTGTTTTCATATTTCTGAAAATTGCTCATTATTTTTGGTCTGAAAGCTGAGAGTAATCAGCACCATTCGATACGGCTTTTTTGGTCCTCTAGAGATGTATTAGAAAGTTGGTTGTGACAAGGACAGTTTTCATAGTCAAGTTTAGCAAAAACGTTTAAAAAATGTGAGATCATGTCAAGTTTGAACACGAAAATACCACTGCACAATTTCAAATTAAACTGCCGCAATTACGGCTGCTACGGTACAAGGCTGAGGCTAAATCTACTGGTCGTCGTGACGTCGGATAGGGTGCCCTCTCATTTTTTTATGCCCCCGTTTTTTACCCTTTTTGCAAAACGTGTTTTAGTATCAAACCATGGCTCTTTAGGAAACCGTTTGATTGATAATAACACCCCAGCTCCTGATAACACTGTCTTGTACTGCTAGAAGAGCTTGATACTGCTTCTTTGAAGTGGAATACATTAGGAGCACTGGAAGACGTAGAATTAACGCTGATTGAATTTGTTTATTAGGTTTTGATACTTTTTTTGCCTGTTTGACGTGGACGCTGCTACCATTACTTCTCTGCTATCTCTGATGTCTGCTTCTTTGGTTCGTTATGTCTGGCGGCTGCTTATTTGGTCTTTGTCTGGTCTCTGGTGTCGTTCATTCTTCGGTTCTTCTATGGTGCTGGTGTTGCCGCCGCTAATCTGGTCTTTCCTGGTTTACTGTATTTGGTACATGCTCGTTCTCTGATTTATATCCGTTGATTGTGCAATATTTGGTCTATCTGTGGTGGTGATAAGTGGTAAGTAACTTATTTTTTGGTCTTTGTCTTCCTTCTGTTGATGGTGTTCGTTCTCTAGTTTTTCTATGGTGCTGATGTTGCTGCTGCTGTTGCTGCTGCTAATACGGTCTTTCCCGGTCTACCGTATTTGGTGCATGCTCGTTCTCTGGTTTGTCTCCAGTGATTGCCTATACTCTTCTGGTCTATCTGTGGCTGTGGTAAGTGGTAAGTATTTTCTTTCTTCTGGTCGCAATGATATAAAACTTCTTTGAACGCTTATATTATTGCTTCCTATATCGTGATAATGCATTCATCATGTTTGTCTTGTTGCGCTTACTCCTTCTTTTTCTTTTGTTGGTAGTGTTTCCTCTGTAGTTGTACATGAAACAACATTAGTCATTATGTTGTATTGCAAACTCATAATACCACTGTTGCTTTTGCAATTGTGCGTATTTGTGTCATGTTGCTTTACATCCGACTATTACTACCATGCGCGTTGCTCATGTATGCATTTTTCTTGCAACAGCAACGAGCTTTTTTGAATATTCTCTGGTGTTGTATTTGTTATGCTTTTCTTTAACTCATTGCGTATGAGTATTCCTTTTTGTCTACATATACTACTATACTCGTATAGTTTTATATTCTTTTCTTTTTTCTTTTATTATTAGTATGTTTCTTTGAAGCATACCTTTTTTACGTTGTGTGGATGTGCCTATCCCTGAAGCTCAACAAGTCTTTATCCGAGGCTAGGAGGTAGATAGGCTGCCTTCACTTGGTTATCGCTGCTTACTTTAGTGATGATTGAGGGTCTCAATGCCTGAATTTAAAGCTAGGTGGTGTAAGTAAGGCATGCTCTAGCACTTGGGGGAAGTTTGATGATAGCAGCGGCTATATTGCTATTATAGCGGCGCTTAAAATTTTGCCTCACATCAAAGCAGGGGGAAACCCTCGCAAATTTTTTTTAGGTCAGCGGAGTTTTCAAGCAATCTGATTGGCTAAGAGGTTGAAACAACGAAGGTCTACAACTAGTTGATCTCCTATTGATCTGTCATTTATAGTAGTAGTTGTGTTTGTAATAAAAAGGCATTTAAATAGATACACTTTAAGTTCTTCTTTATTCAAAAGTAAGACAGGATGCAATTACTCGATCTGGCATCTACCATCACACAATTTTATAAGTGTGATATCTATTAAATTGTTCATGATGTGCGAAAAAAAAAGCTGTAGACAATATAGGTGGTACAGCAATACAGTAGATATTAGTTTCTTCCTGAACGGAACGTGCCGTCAAACATGCGTCGTTTGTCATAGATTTCCAACTACTAATTCAACTTCATGGGCTGTTATCTTTTAAAACATGTTAAGTTTTAAATAATGTACAGAGGTGTTTCCAATTTCGAGGTTACGTTTGGGCTATCCAAAATCAAGTTTTGAACAAATGTTGATGCTAGAGTTCTGAAAGTAGCGCATTCCTATAATAGCCGGATTTTGCTAGAAAAACGATGGTGTAATTGGATTTTTAGACTGAATGAGTTATTGCTGTTGAGAAACGAATAAATTAATTAGATAATCAGACCAATTTTGAGAAAGAATCTTTGTATGAAGCCTATTGAAAGTTGCTAATTACAGGTGATTACGAGTTATGTATCAATGAAATGTGCTGGAAAATATTGTAGTGAAAACCGCTTGGGGATATTTTGTTTCGCTCTGGTTTGGCAAAGATTTGAAGCTGTGCTGCGCATTGAAGCAAAAGGATGAATTGCTTTTTTGTACCCCATGCTGGTGCTAGAGACTTTATATCAAAAAGAATATTTGCTCACTTTGAGCGACTGTTAAGGACCTAAACGGATTCTTGCTTGATTGATTGTTGTCGAATAATGAAGCGAGGAAAGTGTAACTAAATCAATATATATAAAAAAAAACAGTTTGAACGCTACAATTTATTTAACTGTCAGTTCAACCCATTTTGTTATCAATTGGATTTTCCCCCTTTGTTTTCCCTTCAAAATGAGGCTACGTTTTGGCATCTACGATATTTCGTTGAAAAAATTGATTTTTCGACCCTCCCAGATTGGAGTTCACAGTGGCAAAAACACGTATTTTTAAATAACACTATGGGATCGTCTATGTTCTTCTGCTCAAGTCTATGAAATAAGTCTAGGGGGATGATATGGCTAATAGCGATTCACAAAAGAATTCTATACGCGACACCACTGTAGCAAAAGTTAGCCTTTAGCGATCGTTTTTCAACGGTTTGGCAGGGCTTGCCTATTAGGTACTGCAGATCCATAAGAACTGATGCTACAGCTTCGATTAAGGTCTCAAACTATAAGTAATTCCTGGTTTTACGCAATGAACGTTGCTACAGGTAAGTAGAAACAGATCTGGTAGATGATTTCCTTTGAGAACCTTCAAAATCATGAAAAAGCAGCCTGTTTGAATACAATTTATGGGGAAACCATCAAAAGCGGTACCATTCAATGCGCATTTCATCTTTGTACAAACTTACTACGGACGACGAATGGTTGATTTGGAGGGAAAAGTGAGTGTATATCTGCGGATCATACAAGAAGAGGTATGAATTCGCCTTGACGACGGACACATTAACAAGAAGCGATCAGTACTACAATGTGATAAAAAGTAACTTATTTATATGTTGGTCTTGGTGAGAAAGCCTCTGTACGTTAATTTCCTGATTTACCTATAAATGTTAGATTTGAAACGCTTAAATTTTTACGAGTGCTATTTGATAGATTTCATCTACATTGGCAAAATTGAATGGGTAGCTTAACGAAATAAAATCAAAACCACGAAATTGACCACAAAATACAGCAATAGCCACTGGCAATGACAAGCCGCCTCATTCTTTGATGTTAAGTCAGTAAGTATTTGTGTATAACTTGAAGTGAGGAATTCGTTGAAGGGAATTCTTCTAGATAAAGATGATGCGAGTTTTCACTTGACCGAATCTAGACATGTAAATGCTAATCGTCATGATGTCTGCTCTGGAACGCTAAGATTTGGAGATTCCTCAAGCATAATGGAGACAGCGAGAGCATAGACAGAGTTGTTCTACTGTCTACCTTGATCTATGCCTGGATATTTTGTATGTCTCAAATCGAGTATTACTCAACATTGAGGTGTCCAACATGCCAATATCGCCATATTGCGACTCAAATTTGCCATTACAGAAGTTTCAAGTTGCCTCATCTAGTGCTACAGCAAAGAACATATATAAGCTGTTTTTATTCGCCTATAAAATGTAGTAGTATTGGGTGCATTGCGTCTTTGGTATATGAAATGATGAATCAGTGAAATGCTGAATAATTGCATGATTGAACCCCAGCGTATAAAAGTAGCTCTCATGGGATAAAAATTTTTCATTGCTTTCTTTGCATATACATATACAAAAATGAAGTCTGTCCGTGTTAATATCGAAAACTTTGATCAAGAGGTCAGCAAGGCCGTTGAGACAGGCAACCCTGTCTTTGTTCTCTTCTTTGGTACCGAAACTCCTGAGACCTCTGAATCTTGGTGTCCTGACTGTGTCATTGCTGATCCTCTCGTTCGCAAAGCCATTATCCCCGTCCAGAATGCCATTCTCTTGGAAGCTCCCGTTGGTGCTCGTAATGAATGGAAGGGCAACACTACTCATCCTTACCGTGTTCGTTTCAATGTTCCTGCCATTCCTACCTTGTTCAAGTGGTCTGCTGTAAGTTTTTTTATATTGACGCATGGCTAATTCATTTTACTAAATCATTCGTTTATACAGGCTGGGCCTGGCGAAAAGTTAGTCGAGGAAGAGTGTGCTGATGTTAACAAGCTCGCTAAATTTGTTGGAAATTAGCTTATTGTAGTATCATAAAAATAAAATATGTTTATCAGATCATTTGGCAGGTATGAAATGGCAATCGGCATTGTGATATGTCTCTGCAGGAACTGTTTGTAATGGACGAGATATACATTTAGCCGCGATGTGCAGAGTACCTGCAATAATTGAGATCACAAAAGTTAGTTTCTACGGCACGGTGCCCTGGGCAGCTCTATATTTGAAACAAAGCATTGAATGATTTCGGGCACATTAAGAACGCAAAGAGCAGCGAAAGCCTGTCAACATTCAATGCCACCCTTGCAAAATAAGTGCATATACTGCTTGGTAGACCTGCTCACAATGCTTCAAGACCAGGAGAGCACGATGATTCTCACTCATTAAGCAATGAGAAAGGCAAATTGAACATTTCGGGCTACATGGACCTGAAGTTCTTTCTCAGCGAAATAAAGGAGGACGCGAAGCTAAATTTGATTTTCTTTTTCTTCTTTCTTCTCTTTGTTATTCTCTTCATTCCGGATTGGCAAGTATGATTTCTATTGCTTCAAGTAGGTGTCTCTGTATTGTTGATTGCTAGAACCAAATCTAATCATTCCATTTAGTCTTTTTCTGGATCGGTGTATTGACTGTCTGCCCCTACCTTGCTCTGGTTGCTTATGGTGCTTACGGTTGTCCCGAACAAAATTTGAGGCAAAAGTATAATGCCAAATGGTAAGCAGCACTACAGTGATGGTAATAGGCATGTAGTAAATGAGAGAGCATAGGGCTTTGGTCACAGGCGGTTCATCTGGTATTGGTGCTGCTATTGTTCGTAAATTTGCTGGTCAAGGTTTGAACGTTGTCATCGTTGCTCTCGATGATGCTGTGCTTGCCAACTTCAAGGAAACCATTACAAAGGAGTTTCCCAATGTTGAATTCCGTTTTGTTGGTTGTGATCTTTCTGAACCTACTGGCGAGACCTACTTGAACGCTGTCAAGCAAGCTACTGCTGATATTGATGTGCAAATTTTGTGTAACAATGCTGGTTTTATCACTACTGGTGGCTATGCTGATGTCGCCATGAAGCGTGAAATGGCCAACTTCCATACAAATGTCACTTCTGGTTTGATTTTGACTCATCATTTTGCTGACGAGATGTTGAATAAGAGCCTCAGAGGCCTTATCACCTTCACATCATCCAGTGCTGGTTTCATTCCTAACCCTATGTCTGCCTTGTACTGTAAGTTGATCTCATGGGCATTTAAAACAACGTGATGCTGAAACAACACTGGATTATCCATAGCTTCTTCCAAGATCTTCCTCACCACTTTTGCTGCCTCCATTGCCGCTGAATTAGCTGAGGCCAAGATTGATGTTCTTGTTATCGTAAGTTTGCATTAGACATATCGCTCAAATACATATACAAATTCTGATTCTGCGAATAGCATCCTTCTCCTATCGACTCCAACTTTTATAGTAATGCTGGTAAGATGTCTGCTCTCACTTCTGCTCAGAAACTTTCATCTCCTCCCTCTGTTATTGCTGATACCATCTGTCGCAATGCCGGTAAGATTGTTGTCTCTGATCAAGGACCTATCACTGTTGTCATGAAGATCTTTATGACAAAGGTGTTGGACTGGAATGTGTTTACTGAGATTATGAAGCTCGGTCTTCGTCTCAATGGTGATTACAAGGCCATGAAAGTTACTCGTCCTCTCAAGAGAGAATAATAATAAAAAAAAAAAAAAGATTTGAAAATACGCAATAAAATCTAATACATGTCAATTGGGCAAAAACCTATACAAAAGGGCACATTTATTGAATGAATGGATACAATTTTTGCATCAAACGATCGTTAAACGTGGGTTGAAGCCAGATCCCTTGATTATACTAAGGTTGGAATGAAATCAGTGTTGAAAGGAGCATGTCCATCATCCTTAGTATATGGTAATCGTGTCCGACAGTCAGACCTGCTAAAGTTCACCGCACCAATGCCATTAAGAAGGTGCATCAAAATGTCGGCCAAAGGGCTTTCAAATAGTCACATTTGCGGTTGTGCGGGCAGTCAGCAAGTGGCAGCAAGAAGGGGAGAGAGGGAAAGATACCCATATGAAGCCGTTGGTGGCAAAAGTAATCACATCCTCTTTCGAACTGACCAATATGGTACGTATAAGATATGACATGAATAGATGGCAGATGATCATCAACGAAAGAGCAACGCAAAGCAATGGGAGCTCGAGTGGATGGATTGGAAATTGCACAAAGAGATGGATGGATTATCGCCCTTTATTACAGATGTTGCAACATGTGTACGAAATTGAAGTTAGCCTACCATGATACAATTCAACCCACACCAGCACCCTAGCTTCCGAGTTCCTGTTGTTTCTTGCTCTTTTTGATCGAACCATTGTATAGTACGATTGAGAACTTGGAAACTGATTTTACATTCACATGTAGGCCGACGCTGCTGTCACTATCAGAACTCGCAAGTTCCTCACCAACCGTTTGCTCCAACGTAAGCAAATGGTCGTCGATGTCATCCACCCTGGACTCGCCAACGTCTCCAAGGATGAGCTCCGTTCCAAGATTGGTAAGATGTACAAGGCCGAGAAGGAAGTTGTCTCTGTCTTTGGTTTCAAGACCCACTTTGGTGGTGGAAAGACCACTGGTTTCGCTTTGATCTACGACAATGTTGAAGCTTTGAAGAAGTTCGAGCCCAAGCACCGTCTTGTCCGCATCGGTCTTGCTGAAGCTCCCAAGGGTGGTCGCAAGCAACGCAAGGAAAAGAAGAACCGCGAGAAGAAGTTCCGTGGTGTCAGAAAGTCCAAGAAGCCCAGAAAGGAGTAAATCTTTTAAAAAATGTATTCGTTTTATTAAAATTGGAGAATATGCTTTCTTTCTTTACCAACTTCAGTCAATGTCGTGTATTGTGTGTGCGTGTGCGTGTGCGTGTTGGATTTGATGAGATGTGTACTTACAAATGCACTACATGTGAGGACTTTGTTTTGATTTACTATACTACAGAGCAATGCTTCAGCTAAAATGAATCAGTGCAGCACTCTAATTGCTTGAGTCAAGATTGAAAATTTGATGTAGATGCTATTTGTCTTTTTCCGACGATTCATCACAACCAAAAATACTAAAATGTAGAGATTCAAGACTTTATGCTCCTTTTACCAGAACTGAAGCTGCTGCTTATCCTCCAATGTCACATAGCCTTCATAGATCAAGTTGTCAGACACTTGAACTGGTTCTATTATGCATCTCTGGCAATGTGTTTTGGTGCTTCAAGCCAAAGATTTGGCTTTAGCACCTCATTGACGTTCCATTTATGGATAACAGGCTGCCTTTTATGGGATATAAATCCTTCTCTTGCGAGCTAATTTTTCATTGAATAGACTTTCCAGAGCATTTGGTATCGAATTGTGAAAGATAATGTATAGTAAATCATAAAATTCCAAACACTAACAAGTGTTGATTTACAAGTATAATTATTGAAGCATTTCTTACAAGTTATTAATGCACAATGAATGAAGCTTAACAAGTAACCTCGTACGATTAGTCTTCCAAAAATGTAGGTTTTCAAATACCATCTAACATAGGCAAGCGAGAAGGTCTGAGGAGCTTGCACACTGTTTGGTTGTAATAATGCTTGTCTCTGTGGCTCATAGATGTACGTACCTATTGGTCCGTCCTCTCAATGGTTGTACCAACAGAACAATGTCAAATTTCTATAGAGGCTGTCGCCACAGTTTGATGTGCTGAAAATCACATTTTGAGAAGTAACCTCCTTATCATACGAACAACAACAGAAGAATCTTGAACTTCTAATCAGCCAGAATGGGGTTACCTAATATGTAAAGTCGTACGAAAATGACTCTTTGATCCAATCAACAGAGCCCCATCTCTTTGAGTATTCATGATGAAATACAATTACAAGCAAACCAGCACCGAAACGAACATTATATCATACAAAGTCTTGAATAATATTCAAAGAAGCCTTGTCTAGGCTCTTTGCTTCAACAGTCGCGATGCAAGACGGTTTCAGCCTTGTGTTTAACCTATCTTATCACTGTTTCTCTTGTTACATTGAGAAGCAAGAGCATTACGAATGACAAATTATGATAGACTTTGAGTAAATGAGCACTAGCCGATCATTCTCGCTACGCTCGATGATGTCGTCGCCTTGCAGACTCTCGCCGAAGACACTTCAAATCAGAGATAATAAAAATTTGGCATATCCCATAGATTTTAAACAACCATTTAATAGTAAAAAAAAAAAAAAGAAGCTATACTACCAGAGTCAGAAGGGGGGATTGTCTATCTATTGATATTGTTCTTGAGATGGAGGCATAAAGCTGGTCATAAGTAAATACAGAACTTGCGTAAGATCTCTAGCGACTTTTTTGAGATATTGTTATTGCAAAAGACACCTTTATAGGGATAAACTCCCAAGAAAAAGAAATTATTTGGGCTAAGCAATTGTTATTTTAACTCCATAATTCCCATTTGATCAGCATCGCAACCATCATTGTTATCATCATTGTCATCATCAGAAAGGCATTTGGGCCAGCCAGCAGCAGTGCCGTCGCCAAAATTGATTCAAATTCAGTTTATTGTTTCTGTTCAAGATTGGATAGATTTTGTCCTTTTTCGACTTCTTTACTTCATTTTTTGATACTCGACTATATAAATTGTGATGATCACCCTATGCTTCCTAATACATCTTTGAAGTACTTTTCAAGGCGCTTCCAATGGTGCTAACTGAGTTAAGTGTTTTGACTGAAATTATTGAGCAATTTAATAAAATTTGAAATGAGGTTTTTAGCGAAAATAGCCATATTTTGCATATGAAAACCTCTTAAAAGTGGATTCAGAGGCTGCTTTGGATCGAGAGAAACATTTTGAATTAGTATATACCATAGTAAAAGTCTTCGTTTTCAAGGCAAAAAATGCGATCGTTTGATTTTCGATGAAGGGTATGAGGTACTTCTCATGGTTTTTGGTCGATTTTTGGCCATGTTTTTTAGGTCCCCAAAAAGTTGAGCAGAAGATGCCAGAAAGTTACTACTACTCGAGTACAATTGTTTGGCGTTATTCCGGTGGCTCATAAAGGTCTGCATGTCAAGATAGGAAGGCTTGAAAGCTGTCAAATTTGGTTATGTATTGCTATACAGCTTTATCTACACGGCATGAATCACATCTTTGGTAGCTGGAATCTTCTGGAGTGTGGTTCTGCAGCCTGTGCAATTTCTAGTTTGAATTGATTTTGGTAAGACTAATTCATGCAAACTTTGATGCGCTATAATGCTGGTAAGCTTATTAACAATGGAAATGAAAACCCGAATTTGCTGCTTGAATACTATGGTTTTGCAACTTCGCTTACGGTACTCAATTCTTTAGTTTGCCTACTTTTCTGAATGTTTTACAGTGCATATAATGATTGAAAGTAGGATTTGTACAGCCTAAAGTTTCTAAATGTTTGAATATATGACAATAAATGTTTAGAAGCCTCTATGTAACATTGAGTGGGTCAGATAATGTATCATACCGCTACAGGAACACTTAATATTAGTATTGAGCTAGCAGGTCAAACATTGAACTGGCATGCTTTTTTATACAATTCCATTAAAGGATTGTATGCTGCAACTAGTGTCCACTATGCTTTACATTGCTTGAATCGCAAATATCAGCAATCTCTCAAGAAACGCTATTTCCAATTACTAAATAAAGAATGCCAACACTGGACATTAGCTAATTTATGTTACTCCATATGCTTAAAAAGTCGGGTTGGCGAATATGATGACCAGCATGACACAACTTGCTATATTTGTTTGTAATTTGCACTACAAGAAAATAAACTATCGTCCCACTCACACCAGTCTAAAGGTCATGATATCATGAGTTCTAGTTACAACAATGATACAAGATGTATATTTCTTGATCTTCTTAGATGTCATCTATGCTAAGGCACATTAGCCATGATTTCATAGTAAAAATGACGCTCCACAATATTTGAGACGGAGAGCCACTGTTTAGATGTAAATCATCGTTTGGATCAAGACATACCCAAAGTGAAACTTATTCCACGGCATTAGGTTTAAATCAAGATAAATTTGATAATCATCAGTATGCTGGTTACACGATTTCATAGAAGAGCATCCTTATGATAGTGATAGATAACTCGTAATGTATTCTAAATTTGTATGTCTGTGAATGTTAAATGAATGTTTTATTTTATAGATGAAAGATTAAGATTGTAGATAACGAGTATGGGAAAAGGTATAATAGTGTCTAAACGTTTGTCATTGATTCCGTAGTGTAGACTAAAAGAAAGTATATGTAGTGTAGTGATATAAATATATGGAAGTAGTAGTGCTTTAGAGTGTCGTTAAGCGCCAGTGTTTGTGCAGTCGTATCCGACTGAAACGATATTGCGTTGGCCACCGCAACTCATTGGATCATAGTAGTAGCCAACAACATCAGGATGACTTGTTGTACGGGTAGGATCATTCATGTATTTGTCTGTACTGAATGAGGCCAAAAATGCATCAATAGCAGAACGAGATTTAGATGGAGCGATTGTGCTTGCAGTCGACATGTTATCGTCATCGACATTGGGAGTCTTTTTTGTTGTTTTGGTAGGCTTGAAATGGTCAAAGAATCCCATTGTAATGTATATTGTATGATAGAAAATGAAATGCAGAGTAAAATGCTAGCTTTTGACCAGTGTGTGTTTTTTTTTTTGTCTCGTATTTATATACAAAAGCGTACCGGCTTAAACAGTTAGCCGCTAAACGTCAATTCTATAATGGATTCACTGAAATTCGCTGATTGGCGGAACAGCAAGGGATCCACATTAGAAAATCCTGATATTTGGTATTTTCTCATAGTATTTTAGATTGTCTAGAATCATTGATCTAGTGTTGTGACATGACGATAAGCAATTTATTTTCACGGTTGAGTTACAGCATGATATTGGTATGCTGTCATGTTGGATTTGGGATGGCCTCTAATAGTGTCATCGGATTGAAACGGACGAAATCATTCAAGACACCAAATATGTACAATGCTCAAAATCAAATGCATTGAAACTCCATTGAAGGGTTCAAGTAGGATAACACTTTATCCGCTGCTCCAATGTATCAGAAATAAGCTTTTGTTGTGGTTGTTGGTACTATCGTATCATCATTCAGAAAAGACTCATGACGATTATTAGATATATATATATATATATATATATATGATGGGATTAGATAAGCAATCACTTTCATATCACACAAACGTATATAATACATATAAGGAACTCTGGTAGCCCGTGCATCATCTTTGCAATGTGTGCTCCATATTTCAAATGGAACATTCTCCTCGGCTGCAGCTTTTTTTTTGTGGCTCAAGAGCAAAGTGGGCATTAAGCACTATTCTGTACTATCAAGAAAGCAGTGCTTAAATCACTCCATTCTACTTCAACATGCACATTTCCCATTTTGAGCCTGTTACATCCGTTTCCAATGCACTCATGTTCAGGGCCCTTGTCTCTGCTTTATCATCTCCTAGACCCGCCATGATGATAAACCAATAAAATATCAAACCAAGGGGAAAGAAACGGAAACTAAGGCTGCAACTGAAGGGATTTACACTGAAATGATATCCTCATATAGAGCATTTGCAGCGGGCATTGTATATATACTTTTATCCTGCCCAATGACAATCGTAGGATAATTGATTTAGCATTGATGATGATTATGTGATAGAGGTGTATTGCATCTTTATTGTTAGAAAATTCGGTCTGATTGCAATAATTTTGTAAAGGCGATTGTGCAAACAGCCAGCACTACTGAGTCTAACCCTCCCAGGCTTTTGATAAAGTTTTGAGTCCATTTTGATCCGATCTTTGTAGTTACAGCCAACAAATGAGTCACTGTGGATAGCATTAAAATCATGGTTGTGAGTGGGCTCCTTGATGAATTTTTGGCTGTTGTCATTAAATGCATATGTTGCTTCTTTGAAAACACCTTGTCGAAGTGGTAATTCATAAAATGCATGAGGTATGTGATGCACTGTTTATAGCTGCCATGTTGAACGATAAACAAGATTTGCTTGGATATGTGCACAGTGGGTCGAATAAACTGTAGCCTCTGTTTCCATAGATTGTTGACAATGTTGATAAAGAGGAGTATATTATTGTTTTTGAATATAAACCTGATCAATGTCTTGGCAACATTAAGTAGCTTTCTCCTCGAAATGATTGCATAATAAGGGATAAATCTTTGATCTCTTTTTTCGTTGTCCTGATTGTCTTGGTTGAGGTTATTACCTGCATAATGATATGTCTCTGGCAAGTAGATTATATGTGCAGGTGGAGGGGATGAAGGAGGTGATGACAAGTCGTCCCCATCCATATTTATAGCATCAACGTTAATTTGCAATTGCTTCATTGTAGGTAGAGAAAGAGCAAGATCCAAGAAATCATTCTGATGAGCCTAGTATGTATAATTTTCATGTGATCCGTATCACCCTAATTTAAAAGATCTGATCATTATTAAATCAGCATTGTAGGTAGCTTTTATTAGAAAATGTTGAGCGTATATGTATAAGGAGTATATGGAAGAGTGAATAAATACAACGTTGGGGCGAGGACTTATGCGGCCGGCGCACTGTGCCCACAGATGAACCCAGAGCACATCAAATCATCATCACTCATTGCAGGCAATGTGCCAGGCGAGATCAGACACACTCTGACTAGTAGTCTTCTTAGTCTCTCATGGGAGCTTCGACAACCGGCTATATATATATACAACATCATTGTTAATACCAGTGGTCAATAAATAAACAAAATACAAAACTCACCCAATGCGGCCTTTTCAAACCATCTAGTTGCCTGTCGAAGATCTACAGCGCATCCCAAACCCTTTTCGTAACAGTTGGCCAGATGATAGTAAGCAGATACATGATCATTGCCGGCTGCTTTCTGGAATAACTCAAAGGCAGCAGTTAAATCCTTTTCGACACCAAGTCCACTCTGTAGATGAAGACCCAACTTGTCCTGAGCCCTAGCATGATTTTGTGCACTTGCTTTACGATACCACATCACAGCTTTAGCGTCATCTTTTGGCACGCCAATGCCATTTGCATAACAGAATCCCAAGTTACACTGAGCCCATGGATTGTTTTGACGGGCAGATTTGTGATACCAGAAGCATGCTCTTTGACAATCTTTCTTGACACCCAATCCTTCTTCATAGCAGAATCCCAGCGAGTTTTGTGCCAGTGCATTACCTTGTTCTGCTGACAGTCTGAACCACTTGCAAGCTTCGCGTTCGTTCTTGGGGACACCAATACCGTTACGGTAGCAATAGCCCAGCGACAATTGAGCAGGGGCATGATTCTCTTCGGCCGAGAGATAGTACCAGAACACGCTTTCTTGCTCGTTGACTTCGACTCCAATACCATTCTGATAGCAGTACCCCAGGGAATGATATGCAAAGATATTTCCTCTCTCCGCTGATCGTCTGTACCATTTCACACTTTCTGCTTCGTCTCTCTCCACGCCAATGCCGTTCTGGTAGCAAAATCCAAGATTGTGTTGAGCTCTTGCATGGCCCTGAAGAGCAGCCTTTCTATACCACATTGCACCTAGTGCATCGTCTTTATCAACACCAATACCGTTCTGATAGCAGTAGCCAAGATTGCACTCAGCCCATGGATATCCCTGCTCTGCAGACAGCTGGTACCACTGTGTTGCCTTTCTAAAATCTTGAGACACACCAATGCCGTCCTCGTAACAGTATCCCAAAGAGTTCTGAGCAAATGCGTTGCCCTGTTCTGCAGCCAATTGGTAGTACTTTACAGCTTCATAGACATTCTTCTCGACTCCAATTCCGTCCTCATAGCAGTATCCGACATTATAAATAGCCACAGTTTCCCCTTGAGCGGCAGCTAGTCGGTAATAACGCATCGCTTCTAATTCGTCCTTGGCAACACCAAAGCCCTCGCCGTAACAATAACCTAAAATACCTTGACCACGGGCATTTCCTTGATCAGCACTTGCTTTATACCAGCGAAACGCAGCCATTTCGTCTTTAGGCATGCCAACACCATCATGATAGCATACGCCCAATGCATACTGAGCGGATGAATCATTGTCGATCGTAGCAGCATGGATGATCCAATCTACAGCATGAGGGCATTGCTTGACTTTCTCAGCCCATTCCTCTGCCTCCACTCTATCGATCTTGACGGAAGGTCGACCGTATTTTCTCAAAAAAGCAAGGCGAGCCATGGATAAACTATCGCTTGACTTTTTAGCGGCTGAGAGGTAGTGTTTTTCGGCTTGAACGAAATCTTTGGGCACTCCAAGACCGAATTCGTAGCAAAATCCCAAGACACCTTCTGATTTCCCATGTTGAAAGATGTTGATTGCTTTTCTATAGTAGTATACGGCAGTGATTGGGTCGACTGAGTGTCCCTTTCTACCGAATAGATGATTATTTGCCTTATCAAAGTAGTGCTGGCCGTCTAATGGCAGGGTTGCTGTATCTGATGATGTGGGTGGCTGTTGCTGTAACATGTTGTTTTTGAATAAAGCTTGCTTGGATCGATTCAGTATATTTGAAAAAGACATGTTTTTAAATAGTACAAGAGGAAAAAAAAAAGAAAAAGATAACAAATTGGATCCATCTTATAATAATGAAAAAGGGGCAAACGTTATATAGTGAATAGGGTTGGTTCAAACTTTGAGTGCTACCCACCAATAAATCCTTTCTTTTCTATTTGTCTTTTTTTTTTTTTTATATATATATTTCTTTTGCTTCTCTCTCCCCCTCTTCCTTTGCTTAAAGTCCCCCTTTTTAATACAAAAAAGCCTTCTCCTTGCTTTGTCTCCCCCCCCCCCCCCTATGAAAGAAATTTATAATGTATTAAAGGGTTTCTTTAAATCTTTAAACAACCACAAGCTGGAATCACTCACTAAAGGTACAGGATCGTCTCCCTTCACAACACTGATTAATTAACGTCGGATGTGAAGCTATAATTTGTGTAGCCATTGGACTTAGGTAATTAAGGTGGATCTATTACAAAATTGCCGTAATAAATTAGACATTTACAACAGAGCCTCTCATTTGGTGGATATCGCCTATCTAGACCTGAAAAAAGCGACATTGCTATTGAACAGACTAAGAAAGGTACACAAACGAAAGGAAACGAAAAATTTGACATTTGGTTATTAACATCCCGCAACAAAAACCAGATTTTAGTTTGTCAATCACTCGTATTGGTGCAGTTTAAGGATAGATTTACCTTTTTATGTAACAAATATCGACTGAAACAACATCTGGAATCAACATTAGAGGAGCCAACCAAGCGGATCTACATTTCAGTCGAAGGAAAAGAGCCTGTCAAAGTAAGCAATCATACATCAGCATCGGTAAAGCATGTATCTCAGCGTAATGTACCCCCCCCCCCTCTCTTTTTTTTTTAGACGGATCCTCCTATGCAACTCATTGCCTTGCTACAGGAAAAACTCGTTCCTTTCATCCATTCGTCTCAATTGGTATACTACTCTAGTATTCTACCAACATGTCTTGTCGCTTTTACGGGTTGGGCCCTTGAATATCCTGTCATTTATACAACGCATTTAATCACGGATGATCCCGAGGATGAATTAGATGAATGGGAGGCTAAATCAAATTGCCTTGGCAGTCGAACACTCAATCTTGTTCAGATTTGGATATCTGATCATATGCTACTTAGCTTCACCTTTCTTCTCTTAAGCAACAAACAACAACAAGACATGGAAAACCAATTGCAATCTTTATTTAACAATCGATTGGGTGATATAAATCAAAAGCCTGATTGGATGACGGATAACTGTATAGAATTAAGGAGGGAACAAGTAAAATTGGATAGATTTGCACTGTGATATTTCATCATTTGGGCCGATTTCTCTTTGGACAGGACCATGCAATATGGCTAGTATCTCCACAGAAGGAACAACCTGAATTTGCATTGTGATGCACCGCCTGCACCATTGCTGTAGATTGAGTAGACATGTGTATGTGTGATTTGAATAAAGAAAAAAAAAAGCAAATGTTGTTGAATGAGAGAAAGAAGAGAGGAATTTCGTCTTGTATTTATAGTATTTGTAATTCGAGATTTCACCAGAGCACGACGACGATAACTAGGACGACGACAACAACGACGTCGATCAGCAAAAAGGAAAAACCCCACAAAAACGAGTGTTTGTATGACATTTTTCTCACGTAAATGAGGGGGAGAAGCTCTGCTGGCGAGCACAATTCGGCATACCCTGAGTGTTTTAAGGTTTGCTTTTTTTCCCTTCGATATAAAACGCTTGACTTTATAACACGGACCATTCAAACAAACACTGGTGAGAGGGCCCATCATAGATGTATCTATTTATCTTATCTAAAGAAACTAGATTCTGCGCTGTAACTGGCTCGCTACATCTCAATATTTGCTGCTATAAATGTAACTCTTTACATGTATACCCTAATGCCATGCAGCCGAGATCCCAGGCTTGTTTCTATGGTTTGGTACCCTTTTGTTTCCATCATCATCATCATTTCGTATACACACATGCAAAAAGCAGCAAAATGTTACACTTTACACCCTATGTAGGAGAGAAATCAGACCTTCTTTTTATCGTCTTATGAGAAAATGATTCAAATTGGTTAGTCTTGCTAATACTTTTTTTCACATCTTGTTGTTCATTTGTACATAACTGGGGAATGATTGACCAAACGCAAAATTTAATTTGTATAAATCCATGTCTACATGTTTCATGTTGTTTATGCGCGCCAATATTGTAACATGTATTGATTGTCATAGCTTGATGTAAGATTATCAAATCATTCAAACATGATTCAAATCCTCTTTCTTGTGTCATGTTCCTCCTTTGTTGTTTTTGGCCCTCATTTGCATCATTCTTCATAACTCTGAGCAAATGTTTCCTCAATTATTGGCACCAGGAAATTCCACAGCAGGATGAATGGCCTGCGTCAAATTGTTTTGTCCAGCATGATTATGATCATCATATCATCATTGCACGTTATACAAACAGCGTTTCGCCTTGATGCACTTTGGCCAACTTTTTTTGTCAATACTCTATAAATCGTACGTGTTGTGCACTGAGAAAAACTGATACAAGCTATTGTATACGCATTTAACCGTTCATTTAATTGGAGAGACCTTTCGATGCTGAGCAGGCTCAAGGCTACCTGGAAATGCCCATGCGGAGTTTAAGTATGAATAGAGAAAAATGGATTCCAGAATCAAATTTTGCCAAATTTAGATTTTTTTGATCTTTCAGGGATTCTTTCAACACCTTCCATCTAATAACTTCAAGCACTTGCTCTAAAACGACTAATGTAAAATTGAGTGCTCTACACGATGGTATTTTTTATTTTCGCATAGCTTAAAAATTGCAGGAGCCAGCAATCAAATTGTTGAATGTCAGTTTTCAGGCATAAAGTCGAAAGATCTGATAGCAAACACAAAATATGAACGCTTCAAATGAAAAAGAGGCGCCTTACGATCATTTTGTTCCAATATGTATTATAGAAAAATGAAAAGTTTTTCAGCTCAAAAATGGATATTTGGTAAAATTTGACGAAAATCTTTAGTGATAGGAAGGGCAAAATGGGCCAAAATCGAGTTGAAATCATTTTATAAAAAAATTGCTGAAATATGAACAGCATGCAAGCACTGATCCAAAGCAACAATTCGGCCTCTTTTAGAGTGCTCAAAACGCTCGAAAAGTGCCACTTTGACGCAATTCAAGGAGCACATTTCGTAAATTAGCGACATTTCAATGCATCTTTGACGGATTAACTGCAATCAGTATGGTGCACATTCACGCAAAAGCGATCTACATTCTTCATCAACCTTGCCCCATTCCACGATATACTCTAAGGTGCTCTCCAATTGATATTTGGGAAGCTACAGCTAGATTTGTTAATTCAAACAGCATGCATTGATTTTGACGCTTTTCATGGATCTTCATGAGATGTAACGGTATCTACGGTCCATTCCATGTATTCAAGTTAACGATAATGAGTCTATGTTGCTTTTTTATTGTAGTAATAGGTTCTGCTACAATGTAATGTAATGATAATGTACAATCGGAAGACAGTAGTTGAGCTTTACTTTCTCTTCTTGGGAATCTTCTTGAAGGTCTTCTTTCCAGAGAACAAATCCACATAGTCTGGTAACTCTGGCTCCTTCTCCTTCTTGCTCTTTTGAGCAGTATTGGGAGTTTCGTCTGTATCCATCTCTACATCTTGATCTACTGCTGCTGGCGGTGCAACATCCTTGTTCTTTTTGTCGGCAAACATGGAAGCTGGGACATGGATCTTTTTGTTATCCTTGCTACCTTTTTTTGTGATTGTTGTAGGTTCAATGAGCTTCTTAATAGCAAGACCCTCCTTTTCTTTCTTTGATGGTCGTTTATAGAATTTGGCAGATTTACCCATAGTGGTTTTATATATACAATGTGAGATGACAAGACGATTTGGGACATCTCCTAAAAGAAAAAAAAAAAACCTTTAAATTCATGCTCGACAGGCTCTAAGCCACTACTTGCGATCTTCCAATGCATTTTCTGGTTACTGAGTTCAGCTGTTTACCTTCATTGGTCAGTAAATACGACATCCAGGGAGATTTGCACCCAAATCAATGCCTATGAAAGCTTGAATTTTTGCAATTACTGCTTAAATTCCCGAGAAACTCATGGCTAATGATGCGATAGAGGTCTGTTATTTAGATACATGGTGCACTTTGCTCAAAACCAGAGCATGCAATATACACACCAACGAAACCGTTCGTGATGCTGGCATATGCGACTCTGTTTATGCTTGCATTCTGAGAACCTACATGAACTCAAGAATCCCGAGATTTGGTACATTTGGGATGTTGATCTACTGCATTGAAGTCTAGGCATTTGTATAAGCATCGAGCTTATGGGGTCTACCGCCTGAAATTTTTTTCTGAGGTTGCCAACAACTCTATACAAATTGCATGGTACAGCTGCTCCTTTGATCAAACGAAACAGAACTGATCATGAGCATGGCCAATTCGGAGTTATTCAATGTGCACTATAGGATAGCTGCATTTGATGGGTTATTTTGATCCAGTTCTACTTTTGAATAAATTAAAAAACAACAACAAAATAAACACATAAAAAATATTATAGTTTCTTATTATTCCTTTAGCTTTCATAAATACATATCTTCTCTCTTATCGTATGATCAGCCATATTTCAACCATAGTTACCGACGAAAAGGAGGACAAGTACAATCTAGTCGAGGACATTTTATCAGCATCCAATTACTACGAGGCATTGGGATTACCAGACAATTCTTCCTTTGACGAGATTCGCAGAGCTTACATTCAGGTATTTAATAACATTGCTTGGACGGGTGCTTATGTGTGAGGCAACACATGCTAATGCATGCTTGGACCCATGTCGCACACATAGAAAAGTAGAATATGCCATCCAGATAAATTCGTACCACCTTATCCAAGAGCAACCAGAAGTTTTCAAGGTGAATTATGATAGTTTATGCAGCTTGAATGCCACAGTTTATTCAACATGAGCCCTATACAGTACTATCAGCAGCATACAATACACTGAGTCAACCAACGAAAAAGTTGAGCTATGACACACACCAAAGATCAGCTGGATTAGATCATTATACCACCTATTGCTCCGAGGACAACGCAGTGGACGTATTTCAACAAGTCATTCGGCAGGTAATAGATACACTGTGAGGACATGTACAAAAGTTACTTGTGTGTTTATGTTTGTGTAAGCAGCTTTACATTGAAATCATGGAAGGGGAATTTCAAACATTACGCACAGTGATTCGTGAGGCTCTTTGGATCTAAATATTTATAAACGTACAAGCAACTAATTTTCGCTGTGAACTACATAGATGCCATGAATGAAACGAATAGACTGATTCACATCAATGACGATATTTTGTCGATTGCAGAAGTGGGCTTTCTAAAGATCAGGGATATTTTAACCAGTAAGTCTGGCTATTGAGTCTGCGGTATGGTTCGCATGATTGACACACATATATTCAGCCTCACAAAAGTACTACTCCATCATTCAGTGTGAGTTATTGCGCTTGTATGATTTACAAGACGAACTGCGAAATCTATCTTACTTTGATGTGTGGCGCCGACTCACATTATCTGTTTTGATGGCAAAACTTGTTTTACGGATACCTCTGATTGTGAACAAGGCTATCCAGCAAGACGACGACCTAGATGGCACACCTAGCACACATCAGGAGAACGGTGGCCTATTAGGATATCAGATTGAATATGGATTAGAAAAGGCTATCCGCTTGGTTGAATCAAGTGAGGAATACGCCTCTTTGTGGTGTAACAACGACGCTGCTGCTGCTTCTGATAGAGTTTTATAGAGTGAAAATACTAAGCCCAATTTCACAAACAGTTAAAAATAAATTCGCTTCGTTTGCACCATTTGTATGTGCGTAGACTAAGAGAGATGGCTTCAAAGCTTATATTTCATCTCTTTCTTTCCTCTTTTTCTCTACTCTATATCCCTTTAAACAATACACAACAGCCATGCCTGAATTTGACATTGAAAAACAGCCCTTGAATCCACCTTTAGACATCACTACTACCTTGCCTAAAGAGGAGCACAAGACAAAACTTCCGTCCAGGGCAGGCAGTCAGGTACTGGATGCCAGATACTACAGCAACTATGTCACACTCTCTGACAATATCATGTTCAATATTGAAGAGAGCCATCAGCATGTGAACAAGATCAAGGAGGCGCAAAAAGAAGTCTATGAGCATGCCATTGACATTGACAATACAGCTCAAAACAACAGACGTGTGCTAGAAAAGCAGACAGCTTTCGTAAATGATCGTCTCAACTACATTCGACAGACCATCGCTACCATTGAACCGTCAAAGCCAACGTTATCAGATCTTGACCTGAGAAATCAGAGATTCAAGATTATTCTCAGATCGTACAAGGACCTGCTAGAGAAATACATCAACATCACATTGGAGAGCCAGCGATTCACCTCGGTCTTGTTTGAAAACCAAATCAAATCAGTCAATCCACACGCCACAGCCTTTGATCTGGAGCGAGCCATCAGCTCCACTGGCGATGACTGTCCGTCTGTGTTTGTGCAGATACTGATGCAAAGGGGAATCCGTAAGAACGATAAAGACACACAACGTATCATGCATATTGTGCAAGACATACATCAGGATCTGCGGCTGCTGGCAATCACATTCGCTCAGCTATCAGAAATGCGAAATGAAGTAAACATCGTGATTGAACGCTATAGACGTCGATGGCCAGTTATACTCAAGGAAGGTGATTCCGTCTATGTGATTGACGACAATTTAAATCTGCTGGAGAAGACGCTGGTGGGTACACATATCGATTTTGAAGCTTTGCTGCGTAAGCGAGAACGACGCAATAAGCTGGTTGTGAGCATCATTACTGTGGTTACTATTTTTGTGGTGATTGGCATTGTCATTAGCTCCACGTTATTTTCCGATGTTTAAAATAAAGTATATATATATATATATATATTTAGAGTAGTTTGAGTAGCTGGCTGTTGATGTGTAGACAGATAGTGCAGATACTTGACATTAGAGCATAACAGGCAAAGAAGCATGGATTGATTTGCAAGCGTCGAATAGCAAGCAGTTTGGAAGTCAGTGCTTTTCATGTTGTTTGTTGAAATCCCGTTGACAAAACTCTCTTTTCTTCTCTTTTGTTCATCTTTTTTATGCCTACAGCAACTCATAGTGCGATACCCCGGGGCTTTTTACTGTCCCAAAAGCCTGTGGTGCTCTGGATCCATGATCCTGGAGCCATGTACAATCATGATGCTGTCGTCAATCCCGAGATATTCAGCAACTTTCGCGATGGCCAACTGCTGAGGATCCACTGTCCTCGCAGCAATAGCATACAGCCACAGCAACAGCAATCTCAGAATACAGGCAGTGACCAGCAAGACCAAAAGAAACAGCATGATCACCATCAAGGGCAACAGACACAGGCGCAGACACAGCAACAGACACAAGCACAGCAAACTGAGCAATCCATGTTGAATCAAGCAGAAGACCATCATCAGGAGCAGTTGGATTCTGTCATTGTCAAAGGACATGCTGTTGATAAAGAGAGCCTAGCAAAACAACAACAGCTTCAGGTAGGTTTCCAGCACTTGATTGATGGATAGCTATCCTTATTCCCACTATCGCAGCTGTCTATATCCAAGGATATTGCCGATAGATTCAATTTGAGATCAAGACAGGAGGTCTTTGTGGAGTTGGTGAGTGCGTTGTCAGAAATACTGCATGATTTACACAACTCACACACACACACACACACGCCCATACTAGATTGATCCCTTGCAAGTAGCTCTGGATCATGTCGAATTAGCATTCAAGGAGCAATACCTCGGTCGAAGCGACATGTGGAGACTCCAGCAAAACCTCAAAGGCACCTGCGTCTACCACGAAAAGAAGATATTGTTTGCAGGATCCATCAAAGCAACAGTGAAAAGGCTCTTTGCACACGACGAACAAATGACATCTGGATACATTACAGAGACCACACGCATGATATTTCGATCTGCCTCTGCAAAGTACTTTTTGTTTATCCAAATGTCTAGAGAGATGTGGGAATTCGACGAAGATGGCGAACTCTACTTTGAAAAGGCTGTCAGTAACTTTCTACCGCACTTGTTTACTCGCTGGAAAGATGAAGGCACTAACCATGTGGTGTCCATTGTGCTGTTTACGCGAGTGTTTTACGAGACAAAGATTGATGATCCGTTGATCAACCAAGCGGCAGATGGAAGGTATTACAAGGATTTCTACAAGGTGTTGGCAGACTGGGAGACAACAGACGACTGGATGTCGGTGATAGGACCGTTGAAGAAGGAGCAACTCAACTTTCAGCCGAATGTGCTGCTCAGAACAGAAGAGGGACGCAAAGTGGTGAGCGGACAGATCTCGATGGCTTACGAGGGAAATGTGCTGGAGGCTGTAAATTTGGCATTGAACCCTTTTGACAAGCATTTTGTGGACAGAGATTTGATGAGAACAGGTCTCTCCATCATACTCATTACACCGGGTGTAGGCAAATTCTGGGTGAACAAGAAACTGCTGCGATTGACCAACGAACGCATGACAGACAACGGCATTGCTATGGATCTTGTGTGTTTATCGCCGCTGCCACTGCACATCACACCTCTGATGTGTTATATGGATGCACCTCTGACTGGAGAAGCTGACACTGTGAGCCCTGTCACAGACACATTAGTGCCTCGTGGTGGACTAGGCAAGCCGCCATTGATGACAGGCAACTCCCCCGAAAAACCTGCCCTCCATGCCAATACAAACCAAAAGATTGGCTTTGTGGATCCACTGTACAGAGACTCAGACGACGCTGCAACGCAAGCGTATTATGCTGTCCCGCACTGGGTAGACTGTAGCTTTTACCATCATGAAACAGGCAGATTTTTGAAACAGGACAAGTTCAAAACAAGGTGCAAGATGTACGAACTTCAGATGATGGGCATCATGGAGCATGATATTCGTGGTATTTCTGTGCCTTATTTGACAGATGGAGCGGCATTGGCCAGTAAAGAATCGAGTCAAAACCACCACACCATTCGACAGCAGAGAAGCAGTAGCAGTTTGAACGACAAATTGCGCACTGGCGAAGAAACCAAGTCTTATACCAGCAATGGAGAAACGTATCTCTCTAGGTCTGCCAACATCACAGGCAGTGCTAGACGCCCCTCTTTTTTTGCTACCACCGAAATGACGCCTGCCACTGGTGCCGCTGCTCAACCATACAAACACAATGGCATAGCAGAGAAACCGAGCAATTTGTATGAAACGTACGACAGCGATCTGTTCAAAACATCTTCTGAGCCAAGATTTAGCAAACGGGTGACAACGGCAGGCCCACCACCTAGCTCTGCTAAATCAGTGAAGCCCATTCATTCTTCCAAAAACTCATTTGATGGCCCTGAGAGATCCGACAGCAATGAATTATGGCAGAATGCAAATGCCAGGCACAAATCAACGACAGTAAGTATCAATGCTAGTAAAGGATCATGTGTATACTCAATCTCGGTTATTAGACATGGCATCATACGGGAGATCAACGCCGCATCCCCTCTGTGCTCTCTCAATCACAGCAGTTTGGCGGTAAGGGTCCTTTTGATAGCCACCATTTACCTCCTCGAAAAGACGACAGAAACATCCTGGATCCCTTCAAAGCATCCCCTACATTTACAAGAGACGATGCCACTGCATCGAGATTTAGATCCATTCGCAGAGGCACTATGAACAGCACAGATGGAAAGTATAGCTCCATGGCTGCAGCTATGGCTGGCTCCAATCAGCATCACAACACGCACGCACATCAGCATCAGCAACAACAACAAGCGTCGCAGTTACAGCAGCAGTCGACACAGCCATCCCAGCAACAGCAGCCTTCTCAGCATTTACAGATAAACAATCAAGCAGGCAACGAGGACGATGAATTTGCAGTAGTGAGCTCAAGCACAGTGGACCCAGTACCCATCAAGGGAGGTATCAGCGGACGTTCAGACGCCAGTCGAAAGCCTTTGAACCATTCACCGCGTCAAGGCATGGTCTCTGGCAGTCTTCCATCCATCCACAAGCAATCTGGCAACAGTGATTTGATGCGCACCAGCTTTGGTGGTGCCAATGCAGCGAATCGATCCTCGCCTTCTCACAACTTGAGCCGACACAACCCATTCAAACACATGATGATTAACCCTTGCAATCCCTCTGATAATCAAAACTTGTTTACGTCTCATTTGCGTCGCTGGCAGCACGCACTACCCAAGGCAGAAGAGTACGACGGTCCCGTGGTGCATTGGAAATCATTGGCGACACCTGCTTGCTTACCATTGACCACAGACTATTTCCCCTCCAACGAAGAATTAGCGCGTCGCTATAATCACTACATGTACACTGTCTCTGCTAGTGAAGACACCAACTTGTATCAAGCAGGCGACAGAAACTTGTCTGAACACAAAAAGACAGAGAATCTGCTGATTGAAATGCTGAGTCAACGACTAGCACAAGGCTTCCAGATCATTGTGGATAATACAAACAGCTCTACCTATGCTAAAATGGCTGCTGTCAAGGGCGACAGTCTGATTTCTGTCTTGGGTGGGTTTGGCAATGTACACAACAAGGATGGCATGAGTAATTCTGGCATTGCAAATGCTGCCACTGCTGCTGCCAATGCCGGAAAAGAGATTGAAAACAACACCACGGCCACACGGAGCGGCAGTCCATCCAGCGGCAACAATGCAACCACTACTTTGGCGACAACCATGACGATTGGCGGCAATACGAAACTGACGCCTGTGGGTGCCAACCATATCCCCACTGTGGGTGGAAAAGGACCTCAGGACGACAGCGAGAATCACAAGTGGAAACACATGGTATGGTGGCTGTCCATGGGCCATCAAGTACATCAACTCACCTTTGATTCGTCTGGCCAAAATGTGGAAGTGCGTCGCTATGTGCGCATGATTAATTTTGATGTAGGGAAGAGCAACTACAAATGTGCTGTGTGGCCAAAAAACATGCCCACCTACCGCCCAAAGAACGTGGTATTCAGCTATCCCAGTTTGCTGTATGCATGGAACTACTTGGACCATCTTGTGGCTGGCTATCAAGAGGAGCTGACAGACAACTTGCGCTTCTGGAGAGCTCGCTTTATCGTGATACCGCGTGAATCTCTGCCAACCAACATCACACTGACAGGAGCACTGCACGATCATCTAAACGAAGAAGAAAAACGATTGGCCTTGTTTGAAGCCTGGATACAAAACATCCGGAAGGCCAAATGGCTGACTCCTGAAGAACGAGAAGAGCTACTAAAGCGTCGCAAAAAGGAGATTGGCTTCTCTGATCTAGGCGTCAAATTGACTACCATGGATCCCTCGGCTTACGTGGCGAGTGATGCAATGCGAGTTACATTGCCCGCGTCTCTGCATGAATCCAAGTCGACTCATGGCAACATCTTGTCTTCCATCATCATTGGGCAAGGCTTGACCAGAGATTCACGGTCCAAAGACATTGCTATTGCTCTGCAGGATCCAAAAGGCGGTGTCAAGATCATGGACCGTCGCTGGCATTTTAGAATGTTTAGTGATGTGTTTACGGGCACAGAGTTTGTGGACTGGATTATAGGACAGATTGAGGAGATCACGACACGAGAGCAGGCCGTGCAGTTTGGTAACTCGTTGATGCAAAGAAAACCGCCCTTGTTCCACTCGGCTACCAAGCGACATAGCTTCCTGGATGGCAACTACTTTTACCATGTCAATGAGGAATTTGCGGTCAGAAAATCTTCCAAGCAACAACAACAAAGCCCTCGGAAGGATTCCGCTACCAACTCAACAGTGACAACACCCATCAAGGAGAAGGAGATGGACAGTAGCAGCAACGGACTCCGCCAAGTGCCCAGCACGCACTCCAGCATGTCTCCCAAGCGCATTGATTTTGAAATGTCCAAATCCATGATCATTGATGTAGACCCTTATAAAAAGAGCGACCGAAGAGAGACTGCCATCTTACACTACGATACAATACACAATCCCAATAACTGCTACCACTTTCAACTGAATTGGCTGGGATGTACAGCGCAATTAGTGCAAGAGCTGCTTCAGAACTGGAGCAGACAGGCAGAGCGATGCGGTCTTAAACTGGTAGAGGGCTCAGTCGACCAGGCGTACGAGGACTCTGAGAACGACAATCCATTTCAATGCCCTGTCCCGATCCCCATGGCATGTCCGCCACCGCCTGTAGATGAACTTGTCGCCGCTTCCAAGATCAATGTACCTGCACAGTTTTATGAAATTGCGCTTGTACGCCATTTAATGTTTGTTCTAGACGTAGAAGCTGACTTTAACTTTGAACGTGCAAAGGCAGAAGGCGTGGATTTGGAATATTCCTATATCAAGGAAGTGTACAAATACGATCAATATATCCATCGATCAGGCGTCGCTTTTGTACAAATCCGACCTGATTGCCAAGGCTTCTATTGGGTCAACAATCGATTGTACACAAACCATACACCTGCTCTCATCGCCAACCGGCGTCAACCAACATCGCAGCTGTGTCACCCCGATGCCCTGAGACTCAAGTTCATTGAGCACTGTAGCGATGCGCAATGGCTGGCTGAATTCTGGGAGACCACGAAGACCAATTTTATGGAAGGCATTGATCCTGATAGCTCGGACGCTTGTTGGGTCTATGAAAATTCAGGTGCCATCGTCCAAGTGGATACCAACAGAACAGGGGCTACTGAAGAGGGAAATAATACAAATGACGCTTCTACTGTAACATCACCAACAACACCTTCCATTGGAAACTCGTCTAGTGTAATTGATATTCCTGGTGCTAATGCACATCATGGTAGCACTCACAACATTACTGTCACGGTCTCCGCTTCCTCACCACCAAACACCACTGATGCAAATACCAATGCTAATACGCTGCATAGTCCGTCGTTGAAGGATTGACGTTTTATTATCTAGTCAATACACATGTACATATATAAATAGCTTTACTTTAATAAATTGAATATATAAAGTTAAGATTACTCATCATTTGCTATCGTGGTATTATCTGTCAAGAAACACATTGTACGCTACCTCTTTAGATAATTGATTGAACATATATAGCTTCATTGTAATACAGATTTATGAATTAATAAAGATTCTCGGCTCGATTCATGAATAGATGATACAATATATGCTCACTCTGTATAAAGGAAATATGCGTCCAAGATGCAACACCACTCATTGAATACATCATGGTCCATGTGTTTCACAGTAAGAAAGTGCTTCTTTTTATGCGTTTGTGCTGAGGCCATATCCTGGAGCACATTGCCCAATATGTCGAAAGCATGGTCATATATTACTGTAGTACCAGTTACAGATTGTTTGAATTGAGAAATTTTATTTTTTAAAAAAAAAAGTAGTAGTAGTGTATCAAAAAAAAAAAAAAAAAAAAAAAAAAGATGGAATCTATTGGAGAAAGAAGTATTATTATCAAAAGAAAGAGCTATTAGTAGTAAAGAAAAACGGAATAATTAAACGATAATGCGAGATGAATGCAAAATATTGAGTGAAATGGTTGATGGATTTGTAGTTTTACATGTTTGTCATGGTGTACATGTTCTCCAAAGCTTGTTTCTGAAGGACACCTTCTTGGAATCTACAGGTGCGTTTTTGATTAGTATCTTTCTTTTCGTTACAAATAGATAGCAACTTACTTGCGAAGTTGCTCGTTCTCATGAACAAGTCGTTCCAATTCGGACAAGATGGACATTTGAGTGTCTTTTAGATGCTGAATATGTTGAACAGCTTTTTGTTTGTGAGTAGACATATACACACAAGGTAGTTGATGTGTACTTACTGCGATGCAACAAGGCAACTTTGCTCATCTTTTTATTCAAACAGGCAGGCAATTCGTTTCTCAGTTCTTCAAAGCCATCCTTGATTTGAGCTCTTCTCTTTTGCTCAGACTGGATGTGAATTTGTCTTCGAAGCTCGGTGGAGGTCAAGTTGCTATAGTGTAAAGATAAATACATGTTCAAGATGGAATGACTATCCAGGTGTACCTGTTATGTTCTTCATTCTCATCAGATTCACCTTCAGCTTCATTTTGTTGTTGTTGCTGTTGTTGAGGTTGTTGTTGAGGTTGCGACTCGAACTTGGCTTGATCATTATCCTTGTTTTCAGCACATCTTCTTTGCTTTTTACGATTGGGGCCACCGCCAGTAGATTGCTCGTAGGTTTCCTTTGAGTATTGCAAGAATTCCGGATAAAAGGATTCGGGTAAAGAAGTTGCCTTTGCAAATGCCTCATTCAAGAAATCCACAGACGAAGAAGACATGGTAGATGTTGTTGTGGTTGAAGAGGAAGAAGCAACCAACATGGGTGGGTCTTGAATCATGATGGAAGAGGGCGAGCAAGTGTTAATTCTAGTGGGCTGATGGTGATGAGAAGGTGGATGAGCAGGTGGAGAGGACGACATGAAGGTTGAATCAGGACTATTTTGCTGAATAAACTGTTGATGTTGATACTGACTGTCGTAGTAATAAGAAGAATTAGAAGGTGAAGGTTGAGTAGTTGTCATTGGAGAAACGTAAAATGAAGCACCTTTATAAAAGTCAGGATTAGATGTTTATGAAATGATGGGCAGATCTAAAATTTGGACCATCAAAGCCCTTGTTCCTGATGCTTACCTGGATATACAATCGATTGATCAGGAAGATCAAGCTTGGCTACAGGTGCTGGAGGAGGAGGAGGAGCAGGATAGGTAGAGATGTTGAAATTAGATGGTTGAAATTCGTTAGTAGTAGTGGTGGTATTAGCAGAGGAAGAAGAAGGTATAGTACGCTGTTGACTCATTTCGTATAGGTAATAAATTCAGGGGTAAATATATAGAGAAGAGAGATGTAGAATCAGTGTTAGATATATGTGTGTAAAGAGAAAGGGGAGTTGCGTTATATAAAAGAAGCTGTTGTAGAGGTTGGTGTTGTTGCAAAGGAAGGGTGATCAAGTGGGTTTGGGTTTATAAGGAGTGTAAATGTGTTTAGCAGTGAATTGGATATGTAAAATGGGTTATGTTCTCTTCAGCATTCAATAAAGATGAAAAGAAAGATAATAGAAAGAATAAAAAAGAAGAGCAGCAGTGATCAAATCAAGCTTTTATATAGAAACCTTAAAAAAAGATCATGCTTTCTTTTACGCAGAGTAAGCAGCAATAAGCAGAGATACAAGTTACATTTATCAACCTAAACGGTGAAACTGAGACTAAATCAATGTGTCCCTTGTGAACCATATTAAAACGTTTACAGAGCACACTTGGTTTTTTCTCATATACGATCCATGTTTGACAAGGTGTTACCAATATAATTCATCATGTATGTAATGCTGGTGTGTATGATGAGTGCATGACCGGATAATCTAGTTAAATATATGTTCCCTCAGAGATGTTGGATACGTTCATGAACGCTCATTCGACTTGCAAGCAGAGACATCAGGGTCATGAAAAAAAAAAGGGGGGGGGGGAGAAAGAGGATGTCAAGGGATAAAACATGTATAAACTCTAGAGCAAACACCTTGACAAACAACAAGCATCTGTGGATGTATGGTATACAAATTAGCTTGCACCTAAATTGACCAAGCTATTATCAAATAGTCATAGTCTTGCTACTTGGTATTCGAAACAACCGTATGAATTGATCGAGAAATCATTTCCATTCAATTTAGGAGCAGTAGTAGTATAGGACTCCAGTGCTTGCATACATCATTCGTTGTATACAAGGACATCCTTGTGCATTACTATACGCACATACGTCTACTCTGGATAGACTCTATGCAGTGCCTTTCTCTTCAACCTTGCTCTTACTGCTGTCGTTACATCACTGCTATGGCTATATAGAAGTATAGACTTCTTGTAGTGGTAGCACATTCCAATGAATAAATTAAGGAGATTCTATTCTTGTAAAATGAAACCAAAGATCAGGTATCCATCGCATGCAGAATGGACATAAAAGGAGGGCTGATAAAACTTGACTTGCTGAATTCTTGTTATTTTTACACTGCACATTTTTATTTTTGAGTTTCTCTATATATATATTGCATGTGTTACATTGCCGTTCATTAGCGGGATAGCACTTTGAAAGCATGAAATAGGAGGCCGATCAGTCAAAAATAAAGAGATTGCTCAGCAAATGTATGTTTATTTATTTGTCGTCGTTCAAAGCATCTGTCTCCAATGTGCTAAGGATGTTTTCCTCGATATTTAATGGCTCATCTGAAGAGGTGGGTGGTGGCGTGGGGCGAGCAGGGCTCTTTTTGTTGTTGATGGTATTGTAAATAGCCAATGCCTACGTTGAAAAGCGTCATCAGTGTCTATCACTCCAACACAACATTTGTGTCAACACTGACCTGTGTTACCATGGAAGCAGCATCGTTGGTGGATGCAGGCACAATCATAGTAGTGCCTTCCTTGGCCATCTTACCAAAGGCATCAACATACTTTTCGGCAACTGTCATGGAAACAGCATCGTTGCCATGGTTAGTAGCAATGGCACGAGCAACACGCTCAATACCTTCAGCAGATGCCTTTGCACGCAAGAGAATAGCTTCTGCCTCACCAGCAGCCATATTGATTCTCTCTGCCTTTTCAGCTTCTGAAGCTAAAATGGTGGATTGTTTGCGACCTTCGGCGACGTTGATAGCTGCTTGTCTAGCACCCTCAGATTCGAGAATTTGTGCTCTCTTTGTACGCTCTGCTGACACTTGTTGATGCATGGACTCAACCACCTTGGAGGGAGGATGAATGTCGCCTAATTTATATAATCAATACATGGTTTCATGTTATGATCTTTCTCTCTCCTTACGAATCTCATAACGCAAGCATCGAATACCCCAATCCTCTGCTGCAGAATTAATCGCATCAACAATGTTGGAATTCAAATGAGCACGCTCTGCTAATGTACGATCCAAAGTCATTTGGCCAATTTCTGCACGCATTGTTGTCTGCGCAAGTTGCGTAATTGCGAATTCTGCGTCCTCAACACCATAAGATGCCTGGATACATGTCAAATACACATCATCGCTCTCTGTGCATCTATATACCAAAACCTACCTTGAAGGGATCTACACACCTAAAGTACAACACACCATCCAATTCAAGAGTGACATTATCTACAGTGACGTAAGAACACGCCCCATATACCATGTTCAGCAGAACAAACCTTGGGTAATAGCACTTTGACTAGGAACTTCAATGGCGGTTTCCTTTAAACTCTTTACATACTTGATACGATCGATGAAAGGGATCAAAATATTCAAACCAGGCTCCAACATTCTATCAAACTTTCCCATACGTTCGACAATCCATGCTTCTTGTTGAGGCACAAATTTGATAATCTAGAGTCCAAATTGTAAGTCGTCACTCAAACTACTACGCATTGTACCCAACGTACTGTATTTCTAGGTAATGATTGACGCTCTGAACCTGAGCCCCAAGAGCTGCCTGAACCAACTTGAGGTCCACCTCCGTAGTTGTTGTCATATTCATTGTTGTAGCCATAGCCTCCATAGAATGCTATGCTTCTTTGCATTAATGGCGAAGCCTACACAGTGTCATGGGCGACGCGTCAGTTCTTGGCCGATGAGCCATCCATAGCCCTATACATACTCTGATAGCTTGCCTATTGGCCATTTGTACAATTCGCCTAGAGTGAGGTACTAGTCCTCGCATTCTTAGTATACTGCTCATGGTGTTATAATAAATAATAGAGAGATTTATGCAAAAGAGAGTGTAAACAATTTGTATTTGACGGGGGGTAAATGTACGACTGAGTGTGAGGGGAGTCATGGTGCTTATAGGGCACCAAACTTAATGATTGCCTGAATAGGGAATATCTCTACTATAAATGATCTGTAGTAGCATTCAAAGTAGCAATGTCGTCAAGCAATTACAGCCATGGGATACATCTTTGTAAGGCGCTTTAGATTAAAATCACCTGTCATAAGCGTCAAGCTTTCCCCTCTTGTTGAGGCGTTTCCAGACAGCTGCAAGGTTGGTTTTATATTGGCATTAGGCATTTAGTTCCCTCTGTTTTACTTGAGAAAGCCTCTCAGGCATGGCATGTGTTTGACGTCTAATCGAAGCCAGTAAATTACCACAGGAACGCATAATTTATTTTCTACTATCCTATTTATTGTGGATCAAACGTTTGGCACAAGCACAGAAACAAATACTCATTAGTAATTCATTCATTAATCTATAATACCCGTACTCACCTCAGAGAATTAAACATGTCAACTTTGCCCTTGCTTGTCCCATCTTTCTTACAGTTTGTCAATTACGAATAACTACAAATCGCAAATTGAAAGACAAGGTCTGGAGCTCTTTATAGTCAAAAACAGCTCGAACATACCTTGTTTTGCTATTGTCTGACAAAGGGTCGAAGTTGTGCTACGCATTTCACCAAAGACGGGCATAGCTTTTTCATGTTCCATGTTGATGCTAGAGACCTCATATCAGAACGATTGTATGTCCATTTTGAGGGGCTGCTTAACATACAAACGGTTGTTCGGTCGCTACAACATTGGTTATCAAATAGTTGAGCGAGTAAAGTGTAGCGAAACTGATATAAAACAACCAGTAGTGTTTCGATGCTACTATCGGTACAGCTGGCAGCTCAACCAGGTTCCTTCTCTATTAACTGATTTTTGATCCTCTATTGTGTTTGCGCTACAGAATGAGACCTAGTTTGGCTATCGATCTGCGATACTTCCTTTCCAAGATCGGGTTCTCAAGCCTCAAATTGAAATTTACAGTGGTCAAAGCAAGTTTTTCGGCAATTTGGCTGGTGAAGTGAACTAGAAGACTAGATTCCCATCATAAAAATACTCCAAATAAATGCCATTTCAATCTATGACTCGTACTCACTTGTAATTAACAGCTTACAATAGGTTTTATACATAGTGGGTCTGTGCTCGGAATTGTCTTATTATTTCTAAAATCATCTGTTTCTGAACAACAACCCACCATCATCCAACCTAATCCAACTACACTACTACTATGATTTTTCTCGCCCTATTGCTAAAAGAACATGCTGCTTTCACAGCTCTAGCATCAGTATGTTAAAACTTGATTTTGGATGGCCCAAACCTCGAAACAAAAAAAATACCTTGGCACATTCAGAACTTAATTTTATGAAGCAAACGGTAGCAACCCATGAAGTTGAAACATGTTGAAAATTAATGATAAACGACACAAGTTAAGTGGAGCATTTGGTACAGCAGGGAGGAACTGATATCCAATGTATTGTTATACCTACTATAAAACTTTCTTCATATAATAAATCTAAAGGACGTTACTCGCATAAAGCTGTTTGGTAGATGCTAGTGTTGCATACAAGCATGCATCTTAGGGTACATTCACTTTCTCCTCAAGCCACCTTTTACAGTGTAGCAGCATAGCTGATGTTTATCGTATCGCATCACATCTATGTTTACAAGTCCAGTCAATTGTGTGTGCACGGGTGCCTCAGGAACTACAATAGATTCAATCTCCCTAATGTCAAGATATCGAGATCCACCTACACTACATAAAACATATCGACTTAGGTGGCCTCTCAACAAGCTATACCAACAATCCATAAGGCCCCAGTGGCCTGCTATTTATATACTATCTCAACGTAGTAGTCATTGACCAGGGGTCTACCATATTTAAGCAAGCTAGATGCCCTGTAATAAAGAAGCTTTTTGCTTTCGTTTTGAGATACAGTTGACAACTGATTATTATCATCGACTTATTATTACGAATTCATCAGCTAGATCAAATGACTGCACCTTATCGTAATACATTTAAATAAAGAAGAAGAATTTAAAATTTAACTATTTGGATACACTTTTATTACAAACACATAACGATTACAAATGACAAATCAATAGGAAATCAACTAGCTGTAACCTTTCGGTGCCTCAACGTCTCAGCCAATCAAATTGCTTGAAAACTCCGCTGACCTAAAAAAAATTTTGCGAGGGTTTCCCCCTGTTTTGATGTGAGGCAAAATTTTAAGCTCCGCTATATAGCAATATAGCTGTTACTATCATCAAATTTTCCCCAGGTGCTAGAGCATGCCTTACTTACACCACCTAGCTTTTAGATTCTGGCGTTGAGACTCTCAATCATCACTAAAGTAAGTAGCGATAACTAAGTGGAGGCAGCCTATCTACCTCCTAGCCTCGGATAAAGTCTTGTTGAGCTTCAGGGATAGGCACATCCACACAACGTAAAAAGGTATGCTTCAAAAGAAACATAATAAAAAAAAACAAATGAACAAAAGAAAAGAGCATGCTACAGTAGTACTACAGGAGTATGAAGGCAAAAAAGGAATACTCATACGCAATGAGTCAAAGAAAAGCATAACAAATACAACATCAGAGAATGTTCAGAACAGCTCGTTGTTGTTGCAACAGAAATGAATACATGAGCAACGTGCATGATAATAGTCTGTTGCAGAGTGCAGTGAAATCAGGTTTAAATAGATTTCACAAAAAAAATAAAGCAAAGGTAAAATACAATAGAAATCAACTGTATTTTATTTTGTGTATAAAATGAACTGAAGATCCTGGAATTGAGTAAAAAAAGAAGAGTATTTATACATTTGCATCTGGCTTGTAGGATTAGTGATGATAGAGAGCAATAGGTGCTGCTATTGCGATATCTGGCAAATGTTGTTGATGTTTGATTTAAAGTGGTAATCAATGCAGGAGCACTGGCCATAAGGGTCGATTTGAGTAACCTTGATGGGCTTGGGTGAGCTATCGTCATAGCATGATTTAATGTAACCTTGATGGTTTAAAGTGTGATGTTTGTTATTGAAGCATGGAATCCTTTATCTGGGATATTGTGCAACTATGGCAGCAGGGCATAGTTGTCATATTTGAATATGCTTGTTATTGATTTAATTCTATTTGGATAAAGATACCATCACCTATTACGACCATCATGGGTGTGATTGAATACACTGTGATCAGGAGTGATTCATTCACACGATGTGCGATATAAGCGTGTATCTTTACTTTAGTATTTTTAAATGGGTTTTTGATGTACATTTGAGCGCTTTCATTAATAGATCCAAATAGCATGAATTTGAATGAGTGCTATTTGATGAACTTTGGTTTTCAATTAAGTTGCGTTTGGGTGGCTATTTCATTACATTGCCCCCAGCCAAACTTTTTGTGGGGAAAAAGTTGACAGAGTTATGAATTTAGACGACCAAAAGTGATTTGATTGGAACATGTAGAAGGAAGGAAGACATAGATATAAGCAAGAGCAGAGAAACAAGTGCCGAAGGCAGTGGAGGAAGGAAAGCTGGAAGCTACTAATGTTTGCGGCGAGTGTTTTCGCGGCTTGTGTGATCAGTGCCTGCTTTTCGCTTGTTACCAGCCTGTTTTGAGGGGCGTTTGTTTGTAGGTAGTGGTGCATGTCTTTGATGTTGCAGTTCCTTGTTGAGCTTGACCTTTTCCCAGTATTTTTTGATGGGAATGGGAGAGGAGAACAGATCAGCTGTAATGTATTCATTTTCACGTTCAGAATAACCAGCCCATTTAACTAGGTATTCGATCTCATCATCATCGCGGTAGCGATGATCGCGAATGTCCTCAACTTCAAAGATTTCGTCTTCAATGGTAGTTTCATCAATGTTGACAGGTTTGAGTTCAGAAGGAGTATATTCACGATGCATGAGAGAATTGGTTTCGTCTTTTAGAATGTAATTGCCAGCTTGGGTACGCTTGACAACGAAATATGGGCCAGCATAGAGAGGCGCGAGTTTGGATGAACGACCTTCTTCAAGGCGGACCATGACAGGAGAGTCAAAGGCTAGTTCAGGTAGGATGTATCGACGTTTATCCATACGCTTATTGTATTCCTCAGCAAGCCGTTGTGTACGCTCTTGGAGAGCAGGAAACACGATGGTATTCATGTGTTCGATACGCTGTTGGAGCTCTTGAATGGATAGTGCAGGACGTCCATTGAGGTTGAGTTTATTTGGATTGGGATTGACGTTAACTTGACGAGCAAACATGAGACTGAATGGGGTATTGGCAGTACGCTCTTTGACTTTCATGTTGAGTGCAAGTTGGACGATGGGTACGCGATCATCCCAGTTATGCGTGTCATTACCACACATTTTGCGTAGCGTATGCTCGAATTGTTTGATAGCGTTCTCAGCACTACCATTGGATTGTTTGTAGTAAGGAAGAGAATGTCGCTGCTTGATGCCAAGCGTTTTTGTGAAGTGATCCATGAGATTGGATTTAAATTCCTTGCCGTTGTCAGCTTGTTGGATGCTAACAGCAACACCATAGTCACCATAGATGGATAGTATGGCTTGAGCGACTGTAGCGCCATTTTTGTTAGGAATTGGACGAGCTATAATGTAGCGAGTACAGAGATCAATCACAACCAGCACATAAACATTTCCCTTATCGGTGATCGACATAGGACCTAAGATATCCATAGCAATGTGATCAAAGGCGTCAAAGCTGACGATGCTTTTAGCAGGGTTGAAACCTCGACGAGCGACGTTGTGCTTTGCACATTCAGGACATGCTTTAAGTATTTCCTTGCAATCAGCGTAGATGGTGTTCCAATGTAAACCCAAATACGTGTGGATATGTTGAACCACAGACTCAATGCCAAAATGGCCTATTTTATGTGCATCTTTGATGATTTGAGCCCGATCTGCTTCTGGAGGA